ATACTGTATTTGTCCAGTGGTGGCACTGAGTATGGGTTTGTGAGTGACGACAGTTATGCCATCAAAAGACCGTGCTCTGGACAGGGCGACATATAGTTGTCCATGAATGAACAATGGTTCAGGGAGATAAAGACCGACATGATCTAGAGTCTGCCCCTGTCTTTTGTGGATGGTCATGGAAAACTTTGGTCTTACTGGAAATTGTCGGCGTCGTAAGGTGAACGGAAAGCCTGTGTCAGATGGACTGAGTGTTATTCGTGGTATTAACACTCTGGTGCCACTGTGGCGTCCGGTGCAGATGCGACAGTCGAGCACATGCGGCTGCAGAATCTGATGTTGCAAAATCATGCGTGTTCCATTTAGGAGTCATTGTGCTGGATCCAGGTTTTTCAGGAGCATGATTGGTGCATAGATTTTGAGGGTGAGGTGATGTGGCGGCATCCCAGAAGGTGTGAGAGAGTTCAGAAACTCTGTGGTGTAGAAAGCTGGCTGGTCAGTATCATCGACACTCAACACTGCTGTACGAATGAGGTTGGCCTGGAAACTTTTCCATTATCATATCATTAATGATGTCCACGGTGGCATTTTTGGTGGTGAGGATCGCTCTGGAAAACCAGAATGAACTGTGGTGCTGATGTGCTGGCATATCTGGGTACGTACACCTGCTCAATGAGGTCTTGCAGAGATCTTTGTGGAAATTTCAGGCAGATAGCAGGGGGGAGTAAGACGATCGATGTCCTCTCCATCTGTGTCCGTGCATGTTGGCTAGCTCTACGCCATCACCAATGCGGAGGAGGTAATCTGAGAATGGGGAGTCTCTTGATGGTGCTGCTCTCATGTTAACTGTCAAATTGAGAATCTTCACATGTTTCCAGAGTGGTGATCTCTTGAAGCATGACTGGACTATGGTAGCTCTGTTACCATGTCTCACTACAGGAAGAACCTGGCGAAAGTCTCTCCTAAACACAATGATCTTTCCTCCGAAGGGCTTGTCAGATAGTGTGAGGTCACGTAGGGACCTATCAAGGCACTCCATGACTTGATTGTTGGCCATTGGTGCTTCATCAAAGGTGATCAGGCTTGCCTCAATGATAAGTTTGGCTATGTCTGTACGTGTTTTTTGCGATATTGCAGGTTCATGTTTATTGTATGGGGATGGGGATCTTGAAGGTGCTGTGTGCTGTCCTTGCGCGGTCCAGCATCTCATCTGCAATACCGGATGTTGCTACTGCAAAGACTGTCTTGCTCTGTGATTGAAGTGTTGCAGCTATAGTGTTATATGTAAATATTTTTCCTGTTCCACGAGGACCATCAATGAAAAGGACTGTATATTGAATGGTGACAGGATTGGCTGCAGCTGCTATAATCTTAATGTACACATGCTTTTGCTCAGCATTCATCAGTTCTATGTTTCGGGAGGCGTTTTGAAGCTCTTCTTGTAATGAAGATAATGTAAGGGCTCGGAGCAGATTTCAGCTTGACTGGCCTTGATGTGGTTGTGGAATACCTTTATAATTACAGAGGTGTTTCCCATGAGTTTGGAGGTGACTGTCAATGTCAAGCAGAGCAGTGTTAATGACATCATTGGTGGGATGCTTCTCTGTGTTTGAAAACATGCGGAATTTGAGGTCTTGACACAGCGCAGCTTTGTGTTCATTCCACAACTTTCCTGGTTCAGCAGGCTCTCCAATTGCAAATACCAAGATCATGGAAAATAAGTGACGGAGTTGGGAAGGCATCTCGGGTAGAGTTGCCTCATTGAGACAGGAGTCCCACCCTGTGTCACTTTCCAGCAGGCCCAGCCTGAGTGCTACTTCCTTGTATGTTGAGCCAACTGGGCCATTATCAAGGTTTCTCAGATCTGCGAAACTTGTCTTCCCAGGTAGGTGGGTGAGGAGTAGTCGGAGGAGTATCTCCCCCTGTGATGGACATGCTGTGTCCATCCTGTCTATGGTATTGCCAGCCTTCCTTCGTATCCACGGTGAGTTTCGAGCGTTCCATGTGTAGTCCTCA